GGGGAAAGGGGAATGGGAGATGCGGGAAGAAACTGGACAAAAATTGTGCACCTATCGATGAGGACAGTGGGTGGGGAGTGAGGGCGGAGGGTGGGGTGGGAACTGGGAGGAGGGGAGTTATGGGGGGAAAAAAGAGGAACCAATGTAATAATCTGAAAAATAAAGATTTAATTAAACAAATAAAAAATAAAAATTTGTCCCCCCCCCCCAAAACAAAACAAAACAATTCTGCTGTACTAGTATACCAAAATGTGAAGGTTGTGCTGAGGAAAAGTACTTGTGTGATAGTTTGAGAACTGAAGTGGCCACTTTTTAAATGGAACACCATTTATTTATTTATTTATTTTATTTTTGACAGTGTTACAGATGTCCCCCATACCCCCTTTACAGAGAGGAAGGGAGAGGGATAGAGAGTTAGAAACATCGATGAGAGAGAAACATCGATCAGCTGCCCCCTGCACACTCCCCACTGGGGATGTGCCTGCAACCAAGGTACATGCCCTTGACTGGAATCGAACCTGGGACCCTTGAGTCCGCAGGCCGACGCTCTATCCGCTGAGCCAAACCGGTCAGGGCTGGAACACCATTTTCACTTGAAAGAATGACCGACAGAAAATCTATTATCCTTCAGACTTGGGTATTTGGCATTCATTTTTTTAAAAATCACCTGGCTAGTGTGACTCAGTGGTTGAGTCTTGGCCTATGAACTAGGAGTTCAGGGTTGGATTCCTGGTCAGGGCACATGCCCAGATTGCTGGTTCGATCCCCAGTGGGGGGCGTGCAGGAGAGAGCTGATCAGTGATTCTCTCTTATCATTGATGTCTCTATCTTCTGTTCCCTTCCTCTCTGAAATCAATAAAAATACATTTTTTAAAAAAAAGAAATGATATACATTAATAATACATTACCTCAAAGAAGACATCTGACAGTATTTTTTGTCAATGATAAAATTTGAGCTTTTAAGTGAAAGGTGGAATTTTAGAAAACTTATGTATGTCCATGTGAGCTTGACAACTTCCTAATACTTAGACTTTTCTGAAAAAAAAAAAAAATTGGTGGCCATCTTCACAAATGTGATTTTTTTTGATGTATACTGAAATGTGTTAACATTTGAAGGTCTACATAATTCAGTGAACCACTGTTTTCCAACTGACCAGTGCAGGGTAAAAGACCCATTTAACATGAAAGATAGATCCATGGATTTTAATGGAACAAATACAAAAAGTTCACTAATATGGTTACAGGTTTTACATTACAACTAACCTTTTAGAAACCACCCCTTGTTAAATTTTTATATAGTGTCAAAGAAGAATATTCACCATTATCTGAAAAGGCTATTAAATTTCTCTTTTTCTTTCCTACTATATGTCTTGTGTGGCCAACTTTTCTTTGTGTACTTTAACTAAAATGACAGATTGCTCTAGATTGATTTGATTTCAGCTATCTTCTATTAATCCAGATATTAAAAAATTAAAACAATGCTATTCTCAGTATTTTTTTGAAAAATATAGTTATTTTTTAAAAAGTATTATAGTTATGTTAACATATAATTAGTAATAACATATTTATTTAAAAATGAATAAATGTTTACAATATTTTCAGTTTTGATTCTAATATTGTAATTATCAATAGATATAACTCACATCAATAAAAGCTACTTTGGATTCTGAGTAACTTTTAAGGCTATAAAGCAGGAGTGGGGAACATCTGCCCACGGGCCATGGAAGGCCCATGAAATCATTTGATCTGGCCCTGCCAAGGCATTAGGGGTGAGTTAATTAAATGTTTGACCAAATATAAGCAGGCTAATTTTTAAGTTGATAATTGTGTATGGCGAATGATGTTATAAATATCCAAATGACGCTTGGCAGAAAAAAGGTTCCCCACCCCTGCAAGAGAAGGTGAGATTCATAAACTCGGAAAACTGCTGAGTTCGTATAAATTTGGAATGATATTAGCTTTCAAAGTAAGGCCAGGTGATTCAGGATTATAGTCATCAGGAAACAGGTATTGTAGTTGAGATGAGCTGTAACCCAGTTTACATTGTATTTAATGTTGTTTCAGTACTGCATGATGAGTTACTTCAAAATGCCTGCTCTATAGACCACCTCTGTACATGGAGCCTGAGCATGCTAGGATTTGCGGCTGGGAATTAGAACTAGAGGCTATTGCATTTGAAGTACATACGCATAAAAATGTGCAGAGCCTCCTTATTAATATGATCAGTATTCTTTTTGGATAAGCTTATTCCCTCTGAAAATGTTTTAATTTCCTTAAAGAGGAAGTAATATACATTATAGAAAAACATAATTGAACTCTTTGGATTTTCAAAAGTTGCAAAATTTGGCCTTTCTTAGCATAATATGCCATTTCTAATGATCTAAACTAGGGTGGCTGAGCCTTCAGAGTTTGAGCAGTTATGCTCATTGCCAGATGATCATCTTTCATCAGACTTCACAGAGGAAGTAACTTAAAACTTGAATGATGAAAATTCTATAGAGTCCCTAATTTCAAATAAGTTACTTCCAATTATCCACAACTCAAGAACATTTTTAGGTACCTCAAGAAAATCGAACAAGTGGGAAGGGCATAGGTAAAAGGTGTCTGGTTACATGGAGTACTTTTCTGTATTAGTTTCTATATGTTGGAACCATTTTGTGTCACTAGCATGACAAGTTCCATTTCACTGTATCTATAGCGTACATGCCTTCTCTCTCAATTAGTCTGAAGCAGCTTTAAGATAGGGTTTTTGTATTATTCCTTATTTGTTAATTATATGAATATAGAAGGTATAGCAGAATAAAGGAGAAATAATTTGGGAATTAAAATCACACAAGACCCACTTCTGGGTTCAGTGCTGTAATATATTAGCTATTTAAAAGGATCCAGTTATCACAGCTGTAAAATAGAGATACATGTCTATTTCACAGGATTTTTAGATAATTATGTGAAAAACTACATGTGAAAGCACCTATGAATCAAGATACTTGACTCAATGTTACTTATTACGATCAGCCATAAATATTTGTTGAATGAAAGAAGAAATAGTAAAAACAAAACAAAGCTTTATGGTTTTTTTAAACTTCAAGCTTATTCCTACTTTCAACACAATATAGATGAACCCAAATTAAAAGAATTCGATTCTCAACTTCAAGATGCGATTCAGAAGATGAACAGGCTTGATAAAATATTGATGAAGAAACAATATAGAGAAAAAGAAGTTAAGAAGCAAGGTCTAGAAATGAGAATAAAGCTATGGGAAGACCTTAAGGTAAGAATTATATAAACACATGCTGACATGTAAGAAGCCATTTCCTCTGTGATAAGTAAGAAGAGCACAGACTGTGGTAGTTACTGATGTGGTCTGCTTTTATTGATTTATTTTGTGGAGGAAGGTAACTTCAGCATTCCAGATTTTAGGCACTGCATTGGCACTGGTGTGTTCATTCCCCACCAACAGCCCAGTAGGCATCCTGTTTCTAATTATTATTTGAGTAAACTTTTGTGACCAACAAGTGAGGAAGTCATTTCATATTCTGGTCAAGATCTCCTCAGGAAGTTTTAAAGTGCTTGAGGTCTGGGACCACCTCTCTTTGCTTCTGTCTCAGTATTTTTAGTGCTCGATTAACTTTCCTTGGCTTTCTCGGACCTCTTATTCTCCATAGTATTGAGGGGCGGATATTGATCAGATATTGGCACTGACTTGATATATAGCTGTTGGCTTGCACTTAATTTTCCCTCTCAAAGGAAGAGAACTTTTAGGGTAAGGAACATTGAAATAACTGGTTGTTTTTGATACATTTCTCCTGATCAAATGAGGTAACTTCAGAGGAAATTTTCCTGACAATAATATGAATAAACAACATGGTAACTAAGAATATATTTTTATAAGTTCCCAGGAAGACCACTGGGATGAAAAATTTTTGTGCACCGGGCCTCTAGTATTTTTATAAGTTCCCAGGAAGACCACTGGGATGGAAAGAAAGGAACCTACAAAATGCAGTGCTTTAAACTAGAGAAATAATTAGTGTAAATTTTAACAGAAAAAAATTTACCTATCACTTATTCCTGTTGAATTTCAAAGCAGATTTTTTACTTGCTTGGAAACAAGAATTACAACTGGAAACATAATAAAATACAGTAGTAATCTTGAAATGTCCTGAAATTGTAATTTGATAATGTACTTTTAGGTTACTCATTAGTTAAAGAAATATTAAACAGAAACTTAAGTAAATTTAAGTAAGGTAATCCTATGTAATAAAAACCTAATATGCTAAGTGACTGACCAGTTGCTATGGCGTGCACTGACCACCAGGGAGCAGACGCTCCAACTGGGGTCTGGGATCCGGACTGGGTGAGATGGGCTGGACATGCCCTGGAGCCTTCTTGTAGTCCCTCTCCGCTGGCCAATCTTCCAAGATCCCTCCCTGGCCATTCCTGATTGGCCCCAATCGGGACTGGGTGAGAAGGGCCGGGCACGCCCTAGAGCCCCTCTGCAGTCCCTCCTTGGCCCCGATCATGACTGATGGGGTCCCTCAGCCTGGCCTGCGCCTTCTTGCAATCCAGGACCCCTTGAGGGATGTCAGAGAACCAGTTTATGCCCAACCCCCTCAGGCCAGGCTGAGGGACCCCACCAGTGCACAAATCCATGCACTGGGCCCCTATTTATGATATAATGTTGGACCTTATATGTGACTCAATTTGGGAATACTTGACAGAATTTTGTGGGGACAGGAAACATTAATAGAATTCCTAATTAAAGGAATAAAAATGACCTAAATCTTATTGTTTGTATGTACAAGATTGGAAACCAAGTTGAAATTTAACAAAATGTCAATGCTGCTTTCTTTTTTTTTTGTTAATCCTCACCCGAGGATACTTTTTTCATTGATTTTTTTTAGAGAGCGTGGAAGGGAGAGGAAGAAAGAGAGAGAGAAACATTGACGTGAGAGAGATACAGTGATTGGTTGCCTCCTGCACGTGAGATTAAGCTTGCAACCCTTCAGTCCTTGGGCCGAGGCTCTAACCACTGAGCATCAGCAAGGGCCGATGTTGCTTTCTTTTCTCATATTTAAACTTTAATTTCTCTTTCATTAGTCTGCAAAACATAGGGAAGCTTTGCCAAGTAATGAAGAAATGCAAAATACAAAAAAGTTTCTAGCTTTGACTGCTGCATCAGAACAAACTGTTGGTGAGTAAAATTAATTCATCTTTATTTTTATCTCAGTCATAGAATGTTTGGATTAAGGTAAAATTCCAAATTCAGTTATTTTTTTCTTTTTCTTCATGAGTTTAATTCTTCATTAGAGGAAATTATCACATTAGGTAGGATTATATGGAACTACCTTAAGGTTAGGTATGTTTCAGAGTTTTTAAGAACTTATATCTGCTCAAGGGTAGGGGGACAAGGCAGTGAAAAATTGGGAAAAAGACAAAGTATGTGTTTGCCTTTACTTCCAGTGTGTCTTAGATGCCTCTAGACACCCAGTGTATGCAGGCAGTTCCCTAATGGCCGAGGATCTTCCCACAAAGTATCTCACTCAGGCCTCTGCAACCCCTTTCATAAAAATCCATTACTGATTTGTCCTATTTCTTGTTCTCTAACAAACCTGCTCTTTTGAGACCAGTCCATTAATTTTGCACACATGTTTCTATTTCCTCCCTTGTGTGTATGTATATTTGTGATTTCTCTCCTCTTCATCTTCCTTTTTCTTCTCCTCCTCCTTATTTTTCTTTTTATATAGAACTATTATGGAGCCATGTAATCTATTTAACTTACTTGCCTGGTATATAGTGGTGAAAATTTTAGGGATTTGGGAAGCTGTTGGTATTTTTTGGCAGGAAACTTTTGAAATCCTTTAACCTATCCTATATAATAAAAGACTAATATGCAAATCAACTGAATGGTGGAATGACTGGTCGCTATTATGTGCACTGGCCACCAGGAGGCAGATGCTCAACGCAGGAACTGCCTGCCCCCTGGTGGTCAGTGCGCTCCCACAGGGGGAGTGCCGCTCAGCCAGAAGCTGGGCTCACAACTGACAAGCGCAGCAGCAGTAGCGGGAGCCTCTCCAGCTTCTGTGGCAGCGCTAAGGATGTCCAACTTCTGGCTTAGGCCCGCTCCCTGTGAGGAGCGGGCGTAAGCCATCAGTCAGACATCCCCCAAGGGCTCCTGGACTGTGAGAGGGCACAGGCCAGGCTAAGGCACCCCCTAGAGTGCATGAATTTCGTGCACTGGGCCTCTAGTATCACATAAGTGGTTATCTAGTATTGCTTGGGCATTAGACTGGCTCTAAGCAGGGACCTCTGATTTCTCTGAGAATCCTGGAATCCATTTTTTTTTTTTTTTTAACAAAAGGAGTGTCTAACACTTTAGAATCCCAGGAACCTGCTGCAACTCTTTAGCATGAACTTTGATGTGGATGAAATTCCTTTAGGTCTATTCCTTTCCTGCCCCAGCATTGAGAGCTCAGAAGTTGCTTGGGCCAACTCCATGCAGAGAGAGAATGATGCTGAGCAATTCTGCCTATAGTGAGCTTAGTAGTCCCTCCAAAATTTATGTCCACATGGAACCTCAGAATGTGACCTTGTTTGGAAATAGGATCTCTGCATATGTAATTAGTTAAGACTAGAGGCCCTGAGCATGAAATTCGTGCAGGAGGATTGGTCCCTCAGCCTGGCATGCACCTTACCAATCCGGGACCCCTCGGGGGATGCCGGTTTAGGCCCCATCCTGCATAGGCAGTTGGACATCCCTCTCGCAATCCGGGACCACTGGTTCCTAACCACTTGCCTGCCTACCGGCTTGATCGCCGCCTAACTGTTCCCCTGCCAGCCTGATGGCCCTCAACTGTCCTCCCCGGCCAGACTGATGGCCCCCAACTGCCCTCCCTGCCAGCCTGATGGCCCCCAACTGCCCTCCCCGGCTGGCCTGATGGCTCCCAACTGCCCTCCCTGGCCCACCTGATGGTCCCCACCTGCCCTCCCAGTCGGCCTCATGGCCCCAACTGCCCTCCCCTGCTGGCCTCATGGCCCCTAACCACCTCTGCCTTGGCCCCCGCCACCATGGCTTTGTCTGGAAGGAAGTCAGACGGTTGGAAGATGTCCAGTCTCCTGGTCTAATTAGCATATTACCCTTTTATTAGTATAGCTGAGGTTATACTAAACTAGACTGGGCCTTAAATCCAGTAATTGGTGTCCTTATAAAAAGAAAAGACTAATAGAGGCAGAAAAACAATGACATAGGGAAGGAGGCCATGTGAAGATAGAGGCAGAGATTGGAATAACCAAGGAACACCAGGATTCTGGAGCTACAAGAAGCTAGGAAGAGGCAAGGAAGGATTCTTTTCCAGAGACTTCAGAGGGAGCATGGCCCTGCCAGTACTTTGATTTAAGATGTCTAGCTTCCAGTACTACGAGAGAATAAATTCCTGTTGTTTTCAGCCACCCAGCCCATAGTAATTTGTTACAGCAGCCCTAGGAAACTAATACACTGACTATTCCAGCTATCTTAGTGCTGGACATCTGAATGAAGGAACAATTTTGGACATTTCCTCTCTAGCAAATTCCATTTACATAATAGCCAAGGGTACACCTATGATCCCAGTAGAATGCAGCCAACCCAGCCGAGGCCCCATTCATGATGGAACAGAGAAAATGGTTCCTGTGGTGTCCCTCAAATTACTGACCCACAGAATCATGAGCATAATAAAATGGTCATTGTTTTATGCCTCTGTTTTGTTGAAAAAAGAAAACCCCACACTTTTTATTTTGAAATAATTTTAAAATTACATAAAAGTTACAAAATAATATATAGAGCTCCAGTATACTTCTCATTCAGCTTTCCCTCTGTTAGCATCTTGTATAACCTTAGTATAATGATGAAAACTAAGAAATTAACATTGGTATAATACTATTACTTACACTACAGACCTTAAAATTCATCAGTTTTCCCATGAATGTCCTCTTTACTTTCTAGTATCCAATCTAGGATCCCATATTGCCATTTAGTGTCCTGTCCCCCTAGTCTTCTGCAGTCGGTGACAGTTCCTCAGTCTTTCCTTGTCTTTATGATCTTGACATGTTTGGAGAGTATTGGTCAGTTATGTTATAAAATATCTTCCAACTTAAGTTTGTCTGATATTTTCTCTTGATTCGATGGAGGTTATGCATTTTTGGCAAGAATACCCCAGAAGTGATGTATTCTTCTTAGTCTGTCTTAATATTTCTGCCTGCACTGATATTAGTATTTCACTGTTTTTATTATTATAGCTTTGTAATGCATTTTATTAGAACAGGTATATTGTCTTTTTCAAAAAGTTTTTTTTGAATAACATGTTTTTCTCTCTCTGAGAGCTGTTCAGCAATGACTACATTATTTAAGAAAAAAGACTGCAAAGCACTTCTGATAAAAACTAGAGGTCTGGTGCACAAATTCATGCATGGGTGGGGTCCCTCGGCCTGGCCAGCAATCGGAGCTGATCAGGGCTTCTTGCCCAGTCCCAATCAGGATCCCAGCAGCAAGCTAACCTACCAGTTGGAGCGTCTGACCCCTGGTGGTCACTGCTCATCATAGCGACGGGTTGATCGGTCGGACACTTAGCATATTAGGCTTTTATATATATAGAAGCTTTTTTACTAACTTAAATGTCTAAAGACTTGTATGAAGATAATCTGTCTAAAAGTTAAACTTCTCATATTTTCTTTCATGTCTGTCTGTAATTCACCTTCATAAAACTGATTCTCCACCCCTATTCCAAATAAAAAACATGGACAATGTCAGGAATGAGGTTCTGGATGCTATAACATTTCAGCGTATGTCCCCCAAAAATGTATGCACACTTTTAACAACTGATAGCTCAATTGATGTTTTTTTCTTTTTAGATTTAACCCATTGGGATGAATAATTATTCAAAGTGTGTATACTTTTTTCAGGGAAACCCAGCATTTTAGAAAGTAGAGCTAATGGATGAGGCAATAAATGAAAGGATCAATGGTGGCCTTTTGACTTTAACCTTTTCAGTCAGAGTTCACTACCAAGTGAACTTTTGGCCTGGGAGTACAAAACTTTTGCCCTTTTTTCAAAATTAAGTCAGAACATCAAATACATTAATTTTTAAAGATCATGGCATGTATATTTGCCTTAAACCTGTAGAGCTCACTGTTGTATCTCTAGAGTCACATGACTGCTATAGGCCCTATAGATAGTTACACTCATGTTAGATTAGTACTAATGTTCTAACATGGAAATTAGGTGGATTTAATAAGCTGAAAGCTGGAGTTTCAGTTTCAATTTTTAGATTTTGAATTCGTAGTTATTACATATTGGCAAAGCAGATAAGATTAATGAGATTTATTTATGTTTACCTTCATTTCATTTAAATTATATGTATTTATTATTTATAAGGTTTATAAAATTGATTATTATGTATTGGTGAAGCAGATAAGATATATAAGTAGGGTTGATATACAAGAAATGGGAATAAAAGACAGTGAGGTGAACCAAATGTTTCCATACATTTTGATTAACTCACACTTGACCAGTTCACCAAAATGAAGAGACAATTTTATTGTATTACTGTTTCTTCAGGCTTATGATGCAAAGAGAAAAACAGAAATCTCTTGCCCTGTGTCTCTCCATGAATGCTTTTTTTTTAAATCAGGCAAGCGCAGAGTTCTTATATGTTGTCCAGTAGATGGCAGCATCTGGTTAAAATGCATTCTACTTTGAAGAAGTCACTTGTAGATGTTAGAGCCAGACATTTTTGGACTTGAACTTTAACACACATGTATAAACATACCCAAATCTACTTTCTACTTTTATTCTTATTTTTTCCCTTTAAAAAAGTGAGAAATTCTTAGGATGAGTATTCTTCTTTCTCTCTTTCAGTCTTGGACTAGTGTCAGAATGGCACTTCCAACCTGTTTTCTAGCCCCTAAAGCACAACATATATCCTAGTCCCCTTCTCACATCACAAATAGCCAATAGCAAAGAAAAGAAAAAAAAGAAATTTGTATTTGCTGTTGAGTTATTTTATTTTATTTATAGGCACTGAACACAAATGAGGACTGACTCCAAGAGAAAGATAAAAGCCAAACTAAATTTTTTAAAATCATATTTTGACTTTATAACACAGAGTTAATAACCTCAAGTTTACTGAGATTTTGAAGTAGACAATATTAGCACTTCTA